AATGGACAGAAGATTTTGCCCCAATCTCTAACATGCTTGGATGGAATGTCTTATCCTGCTCACTTCTAATGTTTTATAAACATTATCCAACAGTTATAAGAGTATTAACTGCTGAAAGACTTAAAAAAACCCATAAATTAAAATGTGAAATCGAAGTGCCTATCAATTAATTAGCAAACATAACTGAAGTTTTATTTGTGCTGATCTCCAATGAAAAAGTCATACACTTTGAAACTAATACTTGAACTTATGCTATGGAGTGGGAGCTCATCAACTGGTGATCATGGAAGGTGGAGAGGGATCTAGAAATACTGACTGACCACAGGATGATGAGCTGCCAGTGTGATATGGCTGTGGGAAAAAATAGCTAATGAGATTTTAGGATGTGTCAAGAAAGGTATCTTAAATAGAAATAGGGACATATTAATGCCATTGTGCAAAGCATTTAAAACCTTATTTAAAACAATGTGTGCAGTTCTGACTACCTATGTTTAAATCAGGATAATTTAAACTGAAAGAGGTACTAGAATGATTAGCAGAATGGAGATCCTATCCTATGAGGAATTAAGAGTGAGGGGATACAACTGCTGTATTCACTACCATGACACAAGCATCTTTCTCCAAAAATTAGGCCTCCAAAATTTGGGTGCGTGTCTTAAACAGGGTAGCTGACTTTTGTGCTGGAATGGAAGGATGGAGATGCTGTAACAGCTGCCTCTGTGCCTCTGCTTCTCTCTGGACAGCATCCATCAGAGGCAGTCGTCCAGTTTTAACCCTCTCACAGCCACTGCCAATTTGGCAGTAACTTTTGGCTGAAGCTGCCTACAAGCTGGCTAGAAGGGAGTGATTTGCTCCATGCAGTCAGCTTTCAGTCATGATTCATGACTCTGGGAAAACCTTTTCTTTTTTTTCTTCATTCTGTCTTCTCAAAACAAGGTGCATATGGTTGATATATGAGAAAATTAGAGCAAATTTTAGAGAGAAAATTCATCAATATTTTTAGGACTTCAAATATTTAGGAGGCAGAAAAAATATATATTAATGGGAAACACTGGTCCAAGTTCATATGGATATAAGCTGGTCACCAAAGAATTAGGCTGCAAATGAAAAGCATGTTTCAAACCATTAAAGGAGCACAGTTCTAGAATGGCCTTCCAGAGAGCAGTGGGTGCAAGGAATACACTCTGTTGCAAGTTAGAGCCGTATAACTTCAAAGAAGAGATTATATGACAGGTGATCCTTAAATTGGAGACTAAAGTTCACATTACAAGGCGTTGCAATGCTCAGTTTGTTAGCATCTGCAAGAAAGAGTTGAAAGAAGGCTGTATTGCTGTGTGGGGCTGCTTACAGATACAGGAAGGGTCTAATGGCATGGGGAGCATGTTTCCTGACCCTGGACATGTCTGCACAAGATGTTAACTGTTGCCTAATTAGCCCCCCAAATTAGCTCCCCAGTAAATGTCTCGATGTCTACATGTGGAGCCCTATTAGGCCACAGAAAAGTAGTAAACTCTGCAGCAGGTGAGTATTTGTAAATACAAGTACTATCCTACTGCAGAGTTTTCATGTACAGCAGTGCACATGTAGACACTGTCTGGGCTGGCTGTGGCAGGAGGCTGCTTCAGTGAGGGGGCTACCTGCCAGCTAGCCCTGCACTGAAGCACCCTCATACCCCACCCAGCTTCTTTGTAGCATGCTGACCCGAGCTGGAGCTGCCCTGGGCTGGCAGGCTGACCCCCTCGGCCCTCTGCCAGCTGGGGCTGCTCCAACCCGGCACAACCAGGAGCGTATGTAAATGCAGCACCAAGGAGCAATAAACTCACGCTGGAGTTTATTGCTTCCCATTAACATGCACGTGTAGATGCACCCACTGTGTGACAAGATCCAGTGAGAAACTAGCCTCAAGGCGAGATGATGTTCTCTAGTCATGATGGGAGCATGGAGCAGAGGTTGCCATGAAGTTGAAAAGCTTCTCTTAGCTCTTGGTACTAGAGGTGAGTTCAATACCTTTTGAAATATGTGCTTTAGCAGTGGTTCTCAACCTTTTTAGTACCAGGACCCATTTGTACACATCAATGACCAGTACCAACACACAGCCCCCTGGCCCTGACAATGCCTCTCACTCCAGACCCACAGCCCCCCACTCTCTAGCCCTGCTGGTGCCCCCCACTCACAGGCCGCTGCCCTCTGCCCCCAGCCTCCCAGTGTGTGGTCTTAGAGGTGGATGGGTGTGAAGCATAGGGAGGCATGTGCCCCGCAATTTGATGGGTACAGGACTGCAGCCTGGCTGGACCAACACAGACAGGAGCCACCTCCACAGCCCAGCAGGTAGATCCCAGTGCAGGAGGGTGGAGTAGGGCAGTGAATCTAGTTGCTGCCGCCACCATGA